TAGTTGAAGTGAAGTGTTGAAGCTTTATCTCCCTTTCATCCCAGTACCTTCCCCTATTTATAATTGTCTTAAATATTTTCTCTGTATACATTCCAAACCATATCAGACTGTTATACTTTTGCTTCAGCTGTCTAATATAATTTATAAAACTCAAGAAGAAAGGGAAGTTTACTGTATATACTGCTATTTTTGCTTACTGTGTTCCTTCTTCTTTTTGAAGTTCCAGGATTCCATCCTTTATCATTTATTGTCTGTTAAGAGAACTACCTTCACCCATTTTTATTTTTATTTAATGTGGGTCTGCTTGCAACAAATTCTGTTAGTTTTCCTTCATCTGAGAATGTCTTTATTTCCATGTCATTCCTGAAGGATAGTTTTGCTGGGTATAAGGTTCTGGTTTCATAGTTCCTTTCTTTCAGCACTTGAGAAATGTTGTGCCACTTTCTTCTGGCCTTCATGGTAACTGATGAAAAATTATCTGTCATTTGAATTATTTTCCCCTATAGGAAAGATAGCATCTCTCTCGCTACTTTCAAGATTTTGTCTTTAGCTTTAGCTTTTCGTAATTTGACTGTAATGTGTCTTGGTGTGGATTTATTTGAGTTTGTCCTGTTTGGGATTTTTTTCCCAGCTTCTTGAATCTGTAGGTTTATGTTTTTTGCCACATTTTGTAAGTTTTCATCCATTATTTGTTCATGTACATTTTCAGCTCTGCCCACTTTCTCCATTCTTTCTTGAACACAATGACAGGTGTGTTAATTACCTATTGCTCCTGTAACCAATAACCCATACTTAGTGATTTAATCAACACAAATATATTATCTGACATTTCTCTAGATCAGAAATCCAAAATGGGTCTCAGTTGGCTAAAATCAAGGTATTGGCCAAAAAAAAAAAAAACCTAACCTGTTGCCATCAAGCCAATTTCAAGTCATATAACAACCCTATTGGACAAAGTAGAACTGCTCTATAGAGTTTCCAAGGAGCACCTGATGGATTTGAACTGCTGAACTTTTGGTTAGCATCTGAACTCTTAACCACTGCACCCCTAGGTACTGGCACTAGAGCAGAATCTTTTCCTTTGCCTTTTCTATCTTTTATAGGTTACCTGCTGTATACGGCTCATGGCCTTCATCTGTCTTTTTGCCAGCAATGGTGGGTTGAGTCTTTACATTCCATTACTACAACATTGCTTCCATTGTCATAGCTCCTTC